AAACATATAGAAAATTCACGACCTCAATTAAAGTGATATACGCATAAAAAGATGTCACGGCCGTTATATATAAAGAAAACAAATTTATAGAACGATTATATTAAAAGTAAATAGACAATATTGTCAAAAAGTTAGTTTCCATGCACAATTCATCGTCTCGGACAAAGTTTATGTTGTGTATGGAAACTATATTTCTTCAACAAATAATGTAATTAAGCATCCTTATATGAAAACAGAACTGATGATTTCATGCTGGTGATGGTAATATTCTCCCGATATGTTAAAAGCATATGTGACATAATTCATTCCAACGTATTCATAATGATAATTACCTTCCGTCTCTTTATAACATGTATAATGAAACTGTACAACACATATTTCTTACAAATCATCTAAGCGAGCATTTTCGAGATAAATGCTATAGAACAACGGGAAGATCTAAAGTTGTAAACAATCAAAGGAGAATGGAAAATACCTTTAACCCGAGCTTTGAACTTGCATTTGCATTGCTTTAATCATGTTTCAACATGATAATGCTACTGCATATGGTCATTACTAAGATAGTTTTGCACACTTTTCCTATTATTTTCGGTTTCCATTTGATATATCTACATATTTAAATGTACTCATTTATTACAGTTCATTTATAATAAAATGACGATAATCAGACGTAACCAAGTCGTGGAATATTACAAAGAACGTTAATAAGTATTAGCTATTGATATAGATAAAACATTTTGATTGTGTAACGTAACAGTTTCATTGTCATGACAGGAATCTCTATGGCATTAGTAAAAAGTAGGAAAAAAATCGCAATAAATGCTTACACATTTCAGGAATGCATTGATTGTTTTTCAATTACATGAAGATTGTGCTCAGATTTTCAGACATCTGTACAAATTTTATATTTATATTATGTTTCTTATTAAACCTAATATCAAAAGGTAAATTCTAATATAAATTTTAAACATGTATGAAAAGAAAATCTTGAAATAAATGTTCATCTACTCTTTTGTTATACACAAACTTACCTCTATATAAGCAAAATTTAGATAACAAATCTTGTTTTTTTTTGAAAATCAAAACACCTTTTTCCGAAAACATATTTGATCTTTTGCCATAATTATAAAGATTATTTAATGACATAATCTAGTGATGTGCATGGCATAGGGGATATACAAAAAATGGCTTTCCCGATTTTTGGAAAAGAAAAAAACCGTCTCCAAGACTGACACAGTAACGCAAAACTTATGTATTTGTCTGGGATATCATAAAGGGCATTATTTAGAAGTAACAAATAAATATCTAAAATTGTAGAACCCCCCTCCCCCAAAAAAAAACACAAAACAACAACAACAAAACAGTATGTCTGCTTAATACAGAACTCTCCCATGGTTAGATGTAGAAAATGTTTGTCAAGAGAAAAAAAACAATTGTGCCTACTTTCCTTTTTTGAAATAAACTCATCCATAGAAAATGGGTAATACATGTATTGTATAATAAGATTTATTGAATGATAATATGTTATACAAACCCTGTAATGACAACACATGCATATATTCATGAATACATTAATAATAAACATTAAGTATATAATGGACAATACAAGCATTTGATACAAGAGAAAATATGAAAGAAATAAAATAAAATTTAGAATAATTTATTAGACAGTTAAACTATGTGTAATACTAAAGAAAGAAAGAAACATACCTATATTAATCAATCCAAATAACTGAATAGGTTAATTTGACTTTATCTAAACTGACTGCGAGCATAGATATCAAGGCATTGATTTAACGGATATCTTGCTAATCCATTCAAGTTTAAATAAAGTATTTATAATTACACCGATCATTTGTAGTAGGTATGACTAGTTGTTGATTTCATAACCCTTGTAAAGTATCAAACGTTTCTTTAAGATATATAATTTGCAAGGTTTAAAACGTCAGCTAAAAGCTTTCTTATTATCATGATATATATAAACATATATAGATACACTATTGCACTATAGAGTAAAATATATTTGATGAATCATACGCTTGAAAAAACTCTTGTATTCTTCAATCAATACCGGCTTTTGTTGAAACAGACTTTATCAAACGTTAAGAATCTATTGAACTTAATGTAACCATTCCTGTATATTGTTTATTTTTATATGAGACATTTGAATATTTGGTTCCCTTTCTCGACAATAGTTTGTGTCCGAAGTAAAACTTATTTCAATAATCTAAGTTAGGACATTTTTATAAACATGACGTACACAAAAGTGAAAATGATTGTCGTTTCAATATAAAAGAAAGTGAACATTACAATATAACGTCCTAGGTTTAAAGCTAGCTTAAGCCATTCAATCATATTAGGCAACTTGACCAATATAGTTATGATATACATATATAGATCAAACGACTGTCTCGGAGTGAATGTTGAATAATAATGACGATGAACAATACATTGTTTCATATATGCTTATGGTTGCTTAGAAAACCTTAGAAATAAAGAACGACTTAGTAAGAAAGGTTTCACGACAAAAAATCTTCAACAAAGGTGAAGGGTAAAAGGCCAAAAAATGTGTTACAATCGATCAAAAAAAGGGACACAAAGAAGAATTTTTGTAAGTGTCAAGTCGTAGATGGTGTTCCAAACAATATGTGGCTCCTGATAAATATACATGCAATGGAATTATTTCAGTTGCTTACCTTGCCCATAAAGCATCCTTATCACATTAGGCTAATTACCAGAAAATTGGTGGAAACATTTCAGTAAGTGTATGCAAGAAATGAGCCACCTACAACAAGTTGTTTTTTGGAAACTTTATTTCGGATGTGCGATTCTCACAATGGTGTACTCTCAATTCAGTTGATTTCTTTAATCCTGAATATTTGCTGAAATAATTATAATTACTTCAATATCGCTACCTTTAATGTATGTAACTTTTTGACACTCTGTCGTCCGTGACGTCGCTAAAAACGACGGCGACGTTTACATGATGTGAGCGCTTTTAGCGCCAAAAGTTGAACATTTGAACTACTTGAATTTTAAGAATGTTATTAATTCTTACACACATTTTTCAGCAGTATAGAGCCAGGCCAGCTTGAACTTCCATTCAGTCTAACCAGACCTTATATACTGTTGGTAGCTAAATTTGTGTATGTCAATATTGAAATCCATAATGAAAATTTGAATGAACTGTTTCAATTCAAAGCGACTTCTCATTTGGGTTCAAAATGAATGGACTCTATGTATTTCTTAGCTCCAGCAGGTGAGTTAGTTTTGGACCTTGGTGTTGCTTTAAATTTGTAACACCCGGGATTAGCCAAACTCAGCTTACCTGTTTCGGAGCCAAAGGACCTTAACTGTTTTGGTGCGCCGTAAAACGAAACAATCAGAATTCAAAGCTGGGTAAATCTACTACCTACATGAAGCAGGTTAAGGGGTTAATTTCATAATAACTTGTTGTTTATTAAAAAACTTTTAATGAATTGATATGTTCTTTTGTTATTATTTATCATGTATCTTTCATTTGTGTTTTGTGAACTGTTATTCTCCTGTGCTGCAATTATTTCACGTGCGTTCATACAGTGCCTTGAGTGCACAAGAATGCTATTATATTTTGACGCAATAAGCGGTTGCTCATGGTTCTAAGGGTTACATTAATTTTTGCGTTTTTACTTTCTTTGTTTCTGGCAACTGGATTACTAGGGTTACTCACGTTTAGATTAAAGTGTTCATCAAGATTAAACATCACCTGACTGTATATCAATAGAATATGTTTTTATCCTACCTGAACCCAAATTGGTAAGCTTTTGCAAATTGTATGGGGCCAGAACAGCCTGTACATCCATTTTCAAGATGTATATTGTTGACTGACTGGAATTATATTTTCATCTTGATACGCTCAACGTTGATAATGGACAGCTTAAAAAATGGAAGCTGGAAAAAGTTGATTCAGCAGATATACGCTAGGAAAGTCTTAAGTAGAATATACAGGATATTATATAGGAACGTTTTGTGTCCCTTAAAAACTGACATTTTAAACAAAAAAGATGACACAATTCATTGTATATCTCAAGCTGGTATGTTTAGACTAACACGCATATTGAACTTGCATACAAATGGCTACACATATTTGGACTTTTCAAACACTTTCATAAGACTGCCCATGAATGTACAAAGGAATTGTTCGCCTTCATAACAGAGTTACAGTTTAAGTGTAGTCGTCCGTTAAATATCGATCGTTTTAGTACTGTACTATTTATTTTTTTTACTCTACAATTACAATTGCCTCTGTAGTGCAAAGGAGAGATAGTGTGTCAATGACTGACATTGAATTGTCGCGTTATTCTTAAAACCACACAATATAACGGCACGCAAGTGAGACAATTAAATGAATTCCGCTTATATATGGATATAGACCATGAGCTGATGTCTGAATAGAGGGGAACAAAAAAGTGCAAGATTTGGAAAGTTTGCTGCCATTTATAATGGCTTAATGCTGCTTTGAAATGCCCTTGCATTTCCCATAAGAACGTCATATATACTTGAAATCAAGTGATGAAATTGAGTACCACAAAAGTCGCTGGCCGGGGGCGTGAGGGATGTTGCACTTCATTCATAGACTTAATAAAACCGAGTCTGCCGTTTTCATGTAATATTATTGTGATTTATGCTTCCGAGGTATCGCAGTTTATCACAATTTTCCCCTGAAACTTATACTCCTTTGTTTGAAAGTGGAAATTCTTTAGACACGCTTCTGTTCTTGGAAACGAAACTTCCACGAAGCTTGCTGATTTGCTTGAAAAAATTGTCCAATATTTTATGTAAGTGTTGTTATATTTTTTGGTCTTAAGGTATAGTTTATTTTTAATACTTTTGGTATACAGGATTGAATACGGCGTAAGAAGGTACTAGTGGGCGTGAGAGATAACATTGTCTCTCATGAACATAAATAAATCGATTCTACAATCCTCAACAATTCGCTGTGTTTTATTGCTCCTTTGCGGATTTTCAAACAATTTATTCTTCTTGTGGAAGCAAACCTCTATGATTTAATTTGCTTCTATCTTAAAGCAGACATTCAGGTCTCTTCCTTTCTTTAACATTTATACAAAATATTGACTAGCAATTTATACAGCAAGAAAAAATATATTTATACGAAACTACGTAAAAAAATTTCAGATATGTGGAACTAACAATCATTTACATTCAAACAAAGGTGATTGTTTCTAAGCCGTCTGGAATTCTGGTGATCATAATATTCTGTCCTTTCACGTTTTCCTGTATATTTGATGTATATGTAAAATGGTTTGGTTGCTGAAATCCAAAACCGAAATTATTCTGATTTTCGTTGCTAAAATGAAACTTGATACTGATATTGCCAGATATGTCGATCGGATTCATGAAGATAAGTTTATCTCCATTAGTTTTATAATCATGAATGTGAACCCCATTGGTGTCAATCCCTGTAACAGTTCCAACAAACGTACCAGTGACAAATTTTAATTTTACGGATATTGTGTTTGGTTTAATTATAACTTGACGTGGAGATAAACAAATTGGAGCTTGTCCCGGACGATTTTTATAACCTTGTATAATTAAGTAACAACCAGGGCTCATACCCATATGTTGCAGACTATGCTTATACTGTCCGATGTTGACAGTAATTGATGCTCCCGGTCTTTTCTCTTGTCTGAATTTCCCTAAAGGTGTCGACCCTTTTGTTGCGTTAAATTGATACAGCGTCAGTAGCTCTTCCTTGGTTAGTATTCCAGATGGAGTAACAACTCGCGCAAAATCTTCTATTGGTATATTCGGAAACCTTATCTGAAACAAAGCTTCCCCAAGTTGATCGCGCATATTTTGTCCAGATTTAGATTCACTATTGTGTTCCGCCCATTTCATTGCTGCTGTAAATACATCTATTTCTTCGCTTGCTAATTCGTCTCGTTTGAGAATATTCAACAATGTTGCGTGCGATAATTCTATAAAACCTGGAGCAGAAAGGACACTTGATGCGTTATCCATGATGAATGAAATACATTTCTCTTGTAGAGGAAACATCTGATAAATGATGGCATGCTCGATTATCTGACACACATTGTTCTCATCAATGTTGTTTTGAAGAAAGTCGGAGCATTGTTTGACAAGACCAGACAAGTTGTACTTTTGTGCTGCATACAAACAAGGTAAGACATTATTTCCGTCAATTTTTGGCTTGTCGGTGTAGACAAATCTAAAATACAGAAAATAAAAATGATTCAATCCAAAAATAAAATGAAACATAAATAAGATATGTTTGTAAGACATGTATGCACACTATCGGCAGCCAATTAGTAATGTGGTCAGGTTTTCATGACTGACTTTTGACCCAGTGAACAAAAAAATAAATAGGAGTTATTTACTGGTCATGAATAGTCACAAGGTATTTGTAACTGTAAAGGTTGTGTGCAGCAATTTTATGACAACATTTATAAAAAATATCAACCAAAGCAACTGCAATTGTTCAGTTATTGGTAAGAAACCATTTTTGCCTACAAGGCCAATGAGAACTTGATATTTGACCACTTGATCCCAAAATCAATAGGGATAATCTACTGGTCATGAACAATCATCATACCAAGTTTAATGTTCCTAGGCATAAGCGTTGTTAACTTATTGATTCGAAACCGTTTTTACCTAAAAGGTCAAAGTTACCTTGACCTTTGACTTAAAAATCAATAGGGATCATCTACTGATCATGTACAATCATCATACCAAGTTTGAAGTTCCATGGCCTAAGCGTTCTTTAGTTATTGATCGAAACCCGTTTTTATTTACAAAGGTCATTGTGACCTTTGACCCCTTGACCTTAAAATCAATAGGGGCCATCTACAAGCCATGTACAATCATCATATTAAGTCTGAACTTCCTTGGCTTACGCGTTCTGTAATTATTGGTTGGTTACCTATTTTTACCTCATGACCAATTTGACTTTTGACCCCTTGACCCCAAAATCAATAAGGGTCATCTACTGGTCATGTACAATTATCATACCAAGTTTGAAATTCCGAGGCCTAAGCGTTCTATAGTTATTGGTCGGAAACCGTTTTACCTACAAGGTCAATGTGACCTTGACCTTTGACCCCTTGACCTCAAAATCAATACGGTTCATCTACTGGTCATACACAATCATCATACCAAGTTTGAAGTTCCTAGGCGTAAGTTCAGTTATTCATTGAAAACCGTTTCTACATACAAAGTCAATGTGACCTTGACCTTTGACCCTTGATCTTCAAATCAATAGATGTCATCTACTGGTAATGTACAGTCATCATACCAAGTTTGAAATTCCTAGGCCTTAGCATTATTTAGTTATTGATTAGAAACCGTTTTTACATACAAGGTCAATGCGACCTTGACCTTTGACCCAAAAATCAATAAGGGTCATTTAATGGTCATGTGCTATAACCATACCAAGTTTGAAGTTCCTTGACTTACGCGTTCTTTAGTTATTGATTGAATACTGTTTTTACCTACAAGTTCAATATGACTTTGACCTTTATCCCCTTAACCCCAAAATCAAAAGGGTTCATCTACTGACCATGAACAATTATCATATTAAGTTTGAAGTTCTTCTTAGAGTTCTTTAGTAATTGATCGTAAACCGTTTTTACCTACAAAATCAATGTGACCTTGATCTTTGACGTCCTGACCCCAAAATCAATAGGGCTCATATGCTGGTCATGTGCAATAATCATACCAAGTTTGAAATTCCTTGGTTAACGCATTCTTTAGTTATAGATTGGAAACAGTTTTTACCAACAGGGTCACTTTGACCTTGACCTTTGACCCCTTAACCCCAAAATCAAAAAAGGTCATCTACTGGCCATGTTCCATCATCATATCAAGTTTGAAGTTTGCATTGACCTAAGCATTTTTTTGTTATTGATCATAAACAATTTTTACCTTCAATGTCAATATGACCTTGACCTTTGACCCCTTGACCCATAAACCAATAGAGATTATCTACTGATCATGTACAATGATGGTACCAAGTTTAAAGTTCCTAGGCATAAGCATTCTTTAGTTATTGATTGGAAACTATTTAGTCTACGGACCGACAGACAAACAAATGGAAAGCAATATACCCCTAAATCTAAGAAGGGGGTTTAGTCAATAAAAAGTAAATTAATGATATACATTGTCTATTTCATCAATATGCAATACAATGATATGTCTGCCTAAGAAAAGAAAACTGAAAAAAAAACAACAAAAACAAACAAGAGGACCATGATGGCCCTGAGTCGCTCACAAGGATCAACTGCTTTTCAGTGTTGGAACTAATCCATTGTCAATATTTTCTAATAGTAAATTTGAGCATAGAATATCGTAAAACAATAATTTGAAGCAATGTCATGACCTTGGGCATTTAAGCTTTAGCTTAAACAGGGCCAATCAAATTAATATGAGCAAACTTGATAACAGACTACCTAAGATTAGTAAGAATGCTACAGACAAAGTTTGATGGTCATCCATAAATTATTTCAGTAAAAGATGTTGGTCATAGGTTTTTCTTTTTTTTCGCTTAAGTGGCCCCTAAAGGGGCCAATCAAATTATGAGCAAACTTAATAAAAGACTACCTAAGAATGCTACAAACAAAATTTGGTTATTATCCATCCATTAGTTCTGTAGAAGGGGACGTTTAAAGGTATTTCTATGTTAAGCTTTAGCGGGACCTTAAAGTTGCGAGCAAACTTGATAAAAATCTACCTAAGAATGCTACAGACAAAGTTTGGTGATCATCCATCAATTAGTTCTGTAAAAGGAGATGTTTCAATGTATTTCAATTTTTACTTTAGCAGCTTTTAAAATGGTCCAATCACATTAATATGAGCACACTTGATAAAAGACTACCTAAGAATGCTACAGACAAAGTTTGGTGATCATCCATTAATAATTTCTTTAGAAGGAGACGTTTAAAGATATTTCTATTTTTAGCTTATTAATAATAAGCGGTCCCTTTAAGGGGCCAATCAAATTTATATGAACAAACATGATAAAAGACTAACCAAAAATGTTACAAACAAAATTTGGTTATCATCCATCCATTAATTCTGTAGAAGAAGTTGACTATAGGTTTTTTCTATTTTTAGCTCTAGACACCCCTGAAAGGGGCCAATCAAATTAATTGAGCAAAGTTGATAAAAGACTACATACGAATGCTACAGACAAAGTTTGCTGAGCATCCATCAAATAGTTTTGTAGAAATAGACGTTTAAAGGTATTTGTATTTTTAGTTTTAGCGGCCCCTAAAATGGGCCAATCAAATTAATATGAGCAAACTTGAAATAAGACCACCCAAGAATGCTACAGACACAATTTGGAGATCATCCATCCATTAGTTCTGTAGAAGAAGATGTCTAAAGGTTTTTCTATTTTTAGCCCTAAAGATCCCTAAAAGGGACCAATCAAATTAATATGAGTATACTTTATAACAGACTACGTAAGAATGCTACAGACAAAGTTTGGCGATTACCCATCTATTAGTTCTGCAGTAGAAGATGTTTAAAGGTTTTATATTTTTAGCTCTGTTGACCCCTAAAAGGGGCTTATTGAAATGACATGAGCAAATTCAAGTGTGACTGTCAAATTTGAAATAAATCTGCCCATCAGATTCAGTGATGAAGACGATTGTTGACGCATGACGACGGACTGACACGAATAGCTCACCCTGAACCTCAAAAAAACATTATGGATAATCACGCATGTTATCAACTTTTAACCTTTTAAGGTCGTCAAAGTTAATAATTGCAGATTCAACATCTGTGCATTCAATGGTATTGTTATATATTAACCTTAAAATCGTCTTCATTACGTCAGGTTTGACATCTTTGATTAACACAGTTTCATCTCCTTTAGCAAGAGAACCATAAAACATGGCTTCAAAAACATCACTGCGCAGGCTCAGTACAAATTTATGGGCCGGAAGTTTCACACTTTTATCATCGCTGAAGGTAAAGCTGATGTCAGAAAGATGTTCTGAGAAGTAAAGATGTGACACACATTGTGCAACCGTTCTTGATTCCCTCCAGTCACGATCAAATGAACTGAAAGAAAAGAAATATTAATTGAAATATCTAAACCTATTTCAAGTTGTCTAAGGAGTATTTCGGGTGTATACAAGATAGTAGAAATTGACTTGATACTTTGATGAGTTTAATTGTGACCAAAACCTTCCATATCTGGTAGGTAAATCCTTTAGATTGTCCTTTACTTTAGAGGGGAGACATGTGTCACTTGGGTCACGGACACCGGTTCGCCCAATGTGCGTCACTTTTTGCAATGCCTTTTATCAATCTTATAATTATTTCATTGAAAATAGGAAAACTGCCACAATTTTAGATTTGCTCCAAATAAGTGGTCATTGAATACGGTTTGTATAAAAAATACTTAAAAATAAAAGTCAGATATTCATGACAGGGTTAACGTGTCAGAATTTGGAAGTCAGATATTCATTAAAGGGATAAAGTTTCAGAATTTGGAATTTCATAAATTATTTACAAAGTCAGGAATTCAATGATATCCCTTATAATACACTTAATCTTTTCAGAATAAATACCGTTACAAGTTTTAAACATATTTGAGACCGGACAAAATGATTCATAAACTATGTTTTGTGGGGATGTAAATATGTTATTGACAAAATAATTTTAACTTGGAATTTTTATACTTTATATGCATTTCGTCCACACCTATTCAACACACAATTTTAGCACCTTTCGAGTTAAGCTTCGATTTACATCGCTTCTATTTTCCATAAACCTCAAAAAACGGCACAATCTCATCTCGCACAACTGCAAAATATCGCTAAATTGTGATTTATTCATAGGTCATGTTACAATTCTTCAATGAAGAAGTAGGTCTTTGAAGTATGTACTGGCAATGTCAAATATCTTCATATCTAAATCTGAACTATGTAGTTAAAGAAATGTAAATATTGTTGTAAGTCTTTGGTGAACATAGTGACCTCCAAGACAGGACCAAGTTTTTGTTCCTGGGATACTATTTCAAGGACATGCTTTCTTTCAAATGTTTATGCTTTAGAATAGATCTTTAGCATTTCCTTTGATACATATGATCTTGAATATCACACAAAAAATTGTAAATTGTGACTGTTGCAAATGATGACATATCCACTATAAATATCACTGAAAAAAAGTAATTTATTATGTTCCAATTAGGAGTTTTCGGTTTTTAGTAAGGACAGGAAGGTAAACCTGTGATTTAATTGATACAAATAGATAGCGTAACTAAAAAATGCTAATTTTAAGAAAATAAATTAAAAAAAGAATTTGTTATGGAAAGGAAAACATTTGTTTTTGTTTGTTTGTTCCATTTTACGCCTTTTCCCAACAGTATTTCAGTCATATAGGCGGGTAGATTCCTAACCATCGTTCCTGAAGAGTTACACCAGTACTAGACTACCTTTCTCCGCGCTAAACTACCGAAGCATCTCCCGGGGATCGAACCCTAGCCAGAGAGGTAACTGGATTAGAAGTAATCGACTCTAACCCCTCGACAAAAGAAAGACTATAAACATATCAAATTGATATAACTAAACACGTTTAATGCAAATTTCATAATATATATATCAAAATTTGCAATGTACTTTATGATTTTCATTAAGTTCAGGTACGCAACAGACATCACACTTGTACACGACCGGAAAATATTAAATTTTTCAAATTGAATTTACAAATGTACCCACTTTACTTGACACTTTGGGGCAAAAGTAAGATTCAAAACTATCAAAAGTCCCTCAAAAACTGAAATAGAATGAAATATACTTTGTTTCACAGCACATTGATATCGATATGAATGTGATATTATTTTAATGAACCAAAACAATGAAAAAAAAAAAGAATATAGCGACGCGGAGATATAATACATTTTGTATAAGACTAACATTTTAATGTAAAATTGTGGAAAAATAGCACAGTCATGTAATGTTCTAACAGGTTAGCATGATTAACATAACAAAAAGCACATTAATAATGAAAGATGCTTTTATTGGCAATAAATCGAAACTAATCAGAAAGATCGAGAAGTGGATAGGCATGCTCCAGCTAATTTATCTCATCTAGAGTGAATTTGCATCTTACTTGTAAAAAATATTTATTTTTGTAAAGATAGTTAGATAATTTTACCTTCTATTGTCTAGATTAGAAGAAACTGCAGATGACGCATTTCTAGAGGAAGCAGCCTTCTGTGACATTTCCTTCGATATGTAACAAGAGCAAGATTGAATCAGAGACATCTATATGTAGATCACAGAAATATATTAATATCAATTTCATCTTATAAATAACGTTTATAACGAGTTTATATTAATTAACATCCTTATTGTAAAAAACGAAAATTGAAGCAACCTAAATTTGAGTCAATTTTGCCTTTCCGTACAAGGAGCCTCATAGAATAAAATAACAACATATCATTCGTGCTATTTAAGTAAGTAGTGGTAGAAGTGGTGGAAATAGTGGTTGTATAAGTAGTAGTATTCGTAGATGTATTCGTTGTAGTATTCGTAGTAGTAGTACTAATAGTATTTGTAGTAGTTGTAGTGGTGGTTGAAGTAGTGGTAGTCGTTGTGGCGACGGTGGCGATGGCGGTATAATAAACTTTTTATTCAACGAAGGTACCTTATTAAGACAAAACATCAAAGTATCAGAAATAACACATATAATGCAAAATATGCAAAATCTTATTTTCAACAAGGCCTCAAAGAATCATAGAAATAGACATATTACAAGCAGTTATAACATTCATTACATCTTAACTAACAAAGAAGACAGACATAATATTATATATAGTGTAGTAATATTGTCAATAATTCATCTTTTGATTCTGATAGATGTTTGAAATGTGATTTAAACAATTAAAGACTCGTGAATGTTGTTATTTCTAAGGAATAGTGACCCATAACTACATACTTGAATAGTAAGAAGAAGGTTTCAAATAATTTCTTTTGGGCCGTTTATGCATGATGTCTTTTTTCAGTGTTGATCTAAGTAACTACGTTTTATTCTGAGATAACGGAATTAGATCAGAAATATATGCTGGTGTTAATTTATTCAATGCTTTATACACAATAATTACATCTAGATTGAAAAGATCACCATTTTAAAGTTGTTCACTGTGGAGTATGCTAACAGTCAGTTTTCCTATTATGGTTTTCGACATTCTTTGGAACCCTTTTCTTTTAACTTAAATTATCTTAGAGACAATGATTATTTGTAAAAAAAATTATTTATATAGGCATGTTATATCTTGGCATTGGTCATACAATAATAACCTGTAACATAATGCATTGTTATATATTTTATTTATCCTATAATAATTGCCATCCACACTCAGCGACATCAATCGAAATATGGTTTATCTTTTTAGAGTTATCTCTGGCCATTGTGATTGTAATGTTTGTTTCACTGGTTATATAGACATTTATGTATATTTTATCTGAGATAAATGTAATTTTATTCATCTTCTAAAATTATACAAGGATACAATACAATTCATTCAACAGTATAACAACAACAACAGCGGCAGCAGCAACAACAATAGCATTAACACCAACAACAACAACAACAACAAAAACCAATATTGAGAAATGCTTGTATCGTTTGTTCGATTAATTGGTAACTGAACATTCACTTTTCATATTCATGTATGCTCACAAATAAAACACATTTTACTAAACCTCATACTAAGAGTTGTCTGTCTTTCAATCCAAGGATGGTAGGTCTTAGCCATATTGTGGTCACGTCACGACCATATTTCTATAGTTAACATCAGTACTCTTGAGCTTCAGGAAGTGGACTCGGCGAAGGTCGCTCCAAGATATTTGTATATTTTTATTACAATCGAGGTAGGTTAAATGTGTAAGAAATGTGATAATCTAGACATTTAAGGTTATTCTTAAATCAATTAAAGCATTATCAAATACAACAAGCCCCGTCTGGTGAAGCCGATGAGAAACAGGAAACTTGACACTCATTGCTCGGGACTGGTTTGTTCCAGAAAAAAACGATAATGTGTCTAAAGTATATATTTTTCGCCATTTTATTGTCATATATTTGTTTGAGATAAATATGTATTTATTGCGGCGTGGTCAAGAGGATATTGTTATCTAGACTTGGTTTTTCTCTATTTTAGATATTAGGTGGCAGTTTTTAATTTTATATCATTTGTAATTTAAATTTTCATGTTAAAATGACATTATTCTCATCCAAGCGTTTGTGATTGTAGGTAATGGGAAGGAGAATAAAACACTCAAAATTGTGTCATATTTTTTAATTTCTTTTTTTTTCTTTTTTTGTTTGGTAACAAATACACAAACAATAATTCACGTGAACCACAAGGAATTTCTATAAATGACCATCGTTTGTTACGGTCATTTGATAAACGATTGGGTAGTCTTCTTTATATTTCAGTTTTGATGTTTTTTCACGATAATCATCTTTTATTATCAATAATTATTGATAAATCCAAATTCTAAGACTGTCTCATTTTAAGCAAAACATGTTTATTAACACTTGTTCAGCTCATATTGACAACAAATGAATGAGTATAAAATCACATTAAATCATGACTGTTCTTTTCAATACTTATGTTTGAAAAATATTAAAATATTTGATTCATAATTATTGACGATAAATTAATATTCGAAAAATAATATCTAATGTTTTTTTTCCTTCAAATTTACACTATATTTGTTGCATGCTTATCTACTATAACATTCAAACCTGAATTCTGTTCAGGACGAAAAATCAATTCCAAATAAGTGTGAAATTGAAAGTAAATGATGAAATATGAACACAAGTGTTGGCAAAAACAACAACAAAGATTATTCATCGGAAAATAAAAAAACAATACATATTTAAATAATCCAAAAACTGAAAAAGGAACTGTCCTCATACAAGTTTATCCTTTAACTGTCTGACCAAGGGGCGGAAAACTGACAAAAATGGATTCTTTCAAAGTAATTTCATCTTTAATTCATGCGCGTGTATCAGACGATAATCAGTTAACAAATCAAGTTTAGATTTAATGTTTTCGTTTGCTTTCTGATTTTTGATAACGTGTGACGTCATATATAACGTACAAATAAAAGACGTACAAAAGCATCTGGTTCCGCCATATTTATCAATTATTTCACTTGCGTATATATCGTTTTCACTTCCATTTTAACCTTCTTAGCTTTCGAACAAGTTGTGTCGTTGTATATGACACCAGGACCGGATAACAATTTGGCCATACAAATCAATGGGATACAGAAACTGTCGGACATCATTCTTGTGACAAAGATATCCAAACTCTACGTTACGAATTATACCCCAGGTACAATGAATGACCCGAGAATGACTTTCATGGGAGTTCCTATGACCGTTAAATTACATTCCTTTTGGTCTCATTTGTGAACTATAAAATTTGTTGGGTGTTACATCGATTGCTCTCACGCTTCGACACAATATATACAATTCAGGTTACAAAAATGTATACTATTTTTATACATACTATATAAATACTTGTTGTACATGTGTGGGTTCATGTGTATTTATTGATTATAAATCTGCTACTACCATGTGTCAGCAAATTTTACCAGACCTTATAGTTAAAACAATTCCACGAAACGATGCATGGGAATCTAGGAATACTGATATTTTGTATATTCATAAATATTTTAAAAAATCAAGTGAGAGATCATAGGTCTGTAAACTCGAAACATGTAATATTTACAAAATAAATATCAAAATTACTGTTCCCATGTGTTGTTTCTATCATTTTACATTGTTATACTGTCATAACATGATAATGATTGTCTGGCAGTTGATTTTGTATCAGTTCATATATTTCGGGTCTTTTACATGATGTAGTACGGCCCACCATGAAAAAGGAGCCGACCGCTAAGCAAGACGACCTGTAAACTACCACATGTATATTGAGGGACCAACAAACCATGAATAATAAGGAAGAAAGTTTCAAACCCGATGCAAGAGTAAGGAGAAGTTTCAAATCTCCCAATTTCGAATAGTTTATAGAAAGATAAAAAAGTTTTGTACTTTTCATGAAACATACCTTCTCAATTTTTGTTTGTTTTTTTTCTGCCTGCATGCACACTTTTACTTTTGAGAAAGTCCCCATCTTTACACAATGCACTGTCTACACCGTCATAATTCGTACACTTTTAACATGACGCTATCAGTGCCGTTATCTATATTTGTATAGGGCAGCTATTAACTGTTGATTTTACAAACCTTGTAAGATAATTTGCAATGATACGAAAGTCACATGAAATTATATATAACCAGTGTTTTATCAGGTTTATTATATACATAACTATTTTAGTACATCATTTTTGGATCTTCATATTACTATCAACAACAATTCTATTCACACGAAAATTTATGATAAAAGAGATGACTTTGACTTTTGTAAAGTTAATTATCCACATTTAGATGGAGACGTACCCCATGCAACATCTTACGGGGTTTATGTTTCTCAGTTAATTAGATTCGCTAGAGCTTGTAGCAACGTAAAGGATTTCAACGAGCGGACTTTTTTTATTACCAGCAAACTTCTAAAACAGGGCTACCGCTGAAATGTTTTACTAAATTTTACAATCGTAACTTTGATTTAATTTCTAAATTCAATTGTGATTTAAAAACTCTTCTGCGAAAAGGGATTAGCCAGCCTGGTTTTTATGGTGATGTGATTTACAAACTTCGTAAGATTTTGAGTCATGGTAATTTTTCTGCTGTTTTTACTAAAATCATTAAACGTTTTATTAAAAGAGGTTATGACCCTACTATTTTAAGACATACTGCATGTTTAGTGTTCAACCCTTATACAGTTGGACACTACGCTTTCCTCTTTTGATTAGATCTGACGGACCAAGTGGGAGACTCTATGATGGATAGTTCGTAAAGCCCTTTGGGACTGAATTGTCTTAATGTTCGTCTTCTGCCTTGCTTCGTCACACCCTTGTAGGTGATTTTCTTGTTGCTCTGTCTTCCTTTAGGTTATTGAGTACTTTTGTTATGGTCATTGGGTTTACTTGTATATGTTTCTGCATGATCATTTTAGTGTTTTACTTCTTTAACCTTTTGTAACCATGACAACTGTTAGAATTTCACTTGGCGGGGATTCATTTTATTTACACTGTCTCGTTTATAGGAACATGGTGGGGCTAAGAGCGAGGTTTGGTGCACCATTAAC